CCAAATGGCCTCCTTCTGAGTTACAATCATCAATGAGTCCAAACTTGGTATCTTGAAAAACATTGATGTATTAAAAATGTGTGCTTGTTTCAACACAGACAGAAGAGCAAATTGCAGAGTGCTATTACTGAGAGATATTTCAGTTCTTGCAAGCTGTCTGCAATGGCTCAATTCTTACTCTGAAACTGAGGTACATAATTCATTCGAAATATAGGCTTCACTTCGAATAATACTGGAAGGGTTGGAGAGCATTCCCTGAGCAGCAAAGTCTTTGAACAAGCTGAAAGCAATTTAGAATACTGCCATTCTTCTTCAGCTTTGCCACACGAGAAATAGAAGCTTTATAGAATGTGCTTTAGCTCTGCTGAATTGAATTTCTTTTTAAATTTTAAAAAAACAGCAGACGGAACAAACAGGTTAGACTTGGTTTCATGTGAAATTGCACAGCATAGCTTCTACTAACTTCAACAGTTACACACTGACGATAAACCCATTATTGCAGGTTCAGTGCATACAAATCTTCAGAAATATGACAGAGGGAAACCAGAGAGTTATAGGTCAGTTGTTGGTAGATCACCAGGGGAAGTAATTAAGGATGAAGTAGCTGAATGCCTTTCAGCTGATCAGAGGGAGCCAGAGTAAATTTATAATGAGTCAGTCAAGCTCAACAAATCTGATTAGATGTTTTGAAGGGGTGGCTCAAGTTTCAGACAGGACAATGTATTCAGATGGAAGGCATTTCAAAAGTCTCTCGTGAGAGGCTGTTAGCTAACATTGAAGCTCGTGGATTTGAAGGCATATTATTGATGTGTTAGGAAATGGGCCAAGGGGAAGTAGACAGAGCACTGCAATGAAGGAATGGACTCTAACTGACAGAATGCGATTAACGATGGCCAATAGGTATCTGCATTGGGACCTCAACTATTCACTCGATTCCTCAACAACTTAATCAGAATGAAAAGCCACATATACAAGTTTGTAGATGGTGCAAAGAGACAAGTAAAACTAATTTTGTCTGTTCATATCTCTGTAATGGGCAAAAACTAGAGCAAATGGATTTCAATGTAGGCAAATGTGAGGCAATCTACTTTGGATCTAAAAAGAAAGGTATTGCGAATAGACAGAAACAGTGGAAATTCAAAGAGATTGTGGCTTTGTGAAAATAAATCATTGTTATGAACAATGGACAGAAAATACTCAAAAAGTCCAATGGATTGCTGGTCTTTATATCCAGTGTTATCAAGAGGAGTAGGAGTCATGCTTCAGCTATACAGTGCATTGTTTGAATGACAGCCTGAAGTGTTTTGAGCAGCTGTGAGCATCACACCTCAGGAAGGAACCACTGATCTTATAGGAAGTGCATCGTATTTTTACCAAAACCTATACCTGGACTTAAAAGCAGAGATTACACAAATTGGGTTCCCTGGAATATAGAAGTGCACAGGGTGAACTAATCAAAATTTTCAAGATGTTAGGGTGAACGGGCAGGATAGCTGATGAAAACTAGTTCAGCAATTTGGAGAAAGCAGGATTAGGGAGAGTAGGATATTCAGCAATTGAAAAATAAGCCACAGCTTATGGCTGAAGCTTGCAAAGGCTGTCCAACTATGACCACATATAAAATGTTACCCAAGTATGACTGAAATAACTATCATCCTTTGGGAAAATTAGGAACAGAGATCGGCAACAAATTTTCCCCAAACTTGCTGAACTAAGGAGGTTTTGTGAAGTAATTTTTTTTCATAATAAAGTCAGTCATTGTTGTCAAGGGAGAATAAAAATGTTATTAAACAGAAAAAGCTCTGGCAAACAAGCCTTATGTCTGTCATCATCTGAATCTCGATAAGCACATCTAAATTAGTAGCTGACAAACTTCAAATCTGGAAGATCGTGTGAACTCCATAGAATAGTGGAATGTGAGGGAAAGCCCCCATCATGGCAGATGTTGATTCAGTTTTAGCAATATTAATGAAAGACTGTAACTTTAGAATGTCGGTACTATACGGCAACGGTATCAATCAATAAACGATAGAATCAACGCCAAAGTGACCATGTAGGCCTGTAGGTATAACTCTCCTGAGAACACAGTGTGCTCCATCGCATGAGGGAATTAAATGGATTGCCCTGCAAAACAGTAGTGAAGATTTTAGTGGTAAACTGAAGGCTTTTTAGTGTGATCTCATAATATCTGTAATTCTCAGGTCAGAACTGGTAAAACTTGTTGAGACTAAGGAATAACATAAAGGAGCACAAACTAAAAGTTAGAACTAGACCTCTCAGAAGGCGAATTAGAAAACACTTCAACATGGAAAGGGTGGGAGTATTTTCAAACTCTCTCACAAATAGATGAAGTTTAGCCTAAGGTATTCAGGGATATGGAACAAAGACGGAACACATTTGGAACACATGAATTAGGAGCAGTGGAGGCCATTTATCCATTAAGCGTGCCCCACTATTTGATAAATCATGGCTGATGTGACAGTGGCCTCTGCTTTCTAACCTATCCCCTTAGGTTTTTACTATACAAACAGACCGAGTTAAGTCACAAAACAACCACAATTTCATCAATGGCAAAAGGAGATTGGGAGAACAAAATGCTCTAGTCCTGCTCCTATTCCCATCTATTAATCAACGGCCAAGGGATCACACAAACCTTTTCACGCTACACTGAACACAAAAATAGGACAAAACACTTCATAACGCTTCATGCACTAGGAAATTATGGGGGAAGGTTTTTTTTTAAAGTCTTAGCACATCTTTCAACTTAGCCAAACAGAAACCTTCAAAGCATGGAACACATTCTAGATTGAGCCTCATTTTTACTCATATTACAAAATGCTCTGTAGTTATGCAGTTTAATCTCAATTAGCTATTCCCCTTTGAATATCAATAATAGAACGGTTCTTATTCATAACTTACCAGTTTGCGAGACATTTCCTCTGAACTTTGTGCTTTGCTTTGGTTTGCCTATGAATACAAAACATTTTCGATTAAGGTTTATGAAAGATAAAACAGCAAGACGTAATTTCTAAATCTGCACACAGAAATGGAATATTGTGGTATTGTTAGAAAAGCAGGCATGGAGCAGTTCCATGAGGAAGCAGCTTCAAAAGATGCTGCTGATTAAGGGCGTCTAACCTTGAATTTACTCAAGGACAAAGACAAGAGGAAGCTCCCTTTAAGAAAAATACTGCACCTTCCAAAGCTCTGCAGAGGGAGTTAAATAGCTGCTGGTGCAAACACTGTGTAAAACAAACACAAACAACTGAACTGGCAGGAAACCTCTGCGCAGCCTGTAGCATTCAGCAGCTTTCTAGGGCACCAGCAGGAACACAGCTTCACTCTTTCACAAATAGCCTTGCATCCCACTCAATTTTATTTGGACAGGGTCATGGCCTCACAAGTGTCATCTGTGGTAAGAGGGCAGCAGGGATCAAATTCACTGATGCAAACGTCCATGCCCAGAGAGTGCAGTGATGCATTCCATGAAGACTCCCTACATCTTCAGTCCTGGGAAAGGCAGGATCTTCCACTTTAGAATTATAGAATCCCTACAGTGTGGTAGCAGGCCATTCAACCCATCAAGTCCACACTGACCCTCCAAACAGCATCCCACCTGGACCCATCCCTCTAATCCTGCCTTTCCCATGGCTAATCCTCCCAATTTACAGACCCCTGGACACTAGGGGCAATTTGGCAGAGCCAAACCACCTCACCTGCACTGTGGGAAGAAACCGGAGCACCCGGAGGAAACCCACGCAGACACGGGGAGAATGTGCAAACTCCACACAGACAGTCGCCCGAGGGTGGAACCGAACCCGGGTCCCTGGCGCTGTGAGGCAGCAGTGCTAACCACTGAGCCACCGTGCCACCCATCTGACACAGGAATGAAGGTGGTCCAAGTACTAGCTCTCCCCAGCATCCTGATGACAAAGGATGCAGAGCTTAAAACTTAAGAGAAAAGGATACACAACAAATGCCATGTACAGAATACGGGCATGAAACCAGGTAAATTACAGGCTCAAGTAGATAATTTAAATAGCATAAGAAGAGGAAAACAGAAAGAGTAAAGATAGAAATAAAAGACTTGTATTGATTTAGTGCCTTGTCTCAGGTCCTCCTTTAATGTGTCTCAGGCACTTTATAGTCAGTTGTGTACTACTGAAGGATACTCATTGTCAGAATGTAGGACAAATGTCACTCACTCAATGCAGCACAGTCCAACTTGATAATGAACAAGTTCTTTTTGAATATAGAAATTGGATGAGAGATAAATATTAGCAAGAATTCAGAAAACACAGAATAGGAAGCACAAATACTTTTCTAACTTGACAGTAGTCTTCTACAGTTCAGTCACCTGGGGGTCAACATGAAAAACCATTATTCTTCTTGTTTAATATGAATGAGCGGGACCCAGAGGTCAGAGCTTTAAAATAAATGACATAAGACTTAAGAGTAGAGTGAGAAGCATTTATAATCAGGGAAGGTTAGGATTTGGCTACACAACCTGAAACACTGGGCAGAATACTCCGGGAGGCGAGGAAGGAGATGGCAGGCAGTGAGGTATTGAGTTAAGAGTATATAAGAAATTGAGTAAAGGTAACTACATGGCAGTGAGGAAGGTTCCCTGGTACCTGTGGTGGCAGAGAGAATGGGCAGCTGACAGCAGGCTAAATGGAGGAGATTGGAGCCCCAGCAAGCACTCATCAAAGACTGTTGAACTTTTAACTTTACCTTTTATTTTTCTAGTTTATATTAAGAAGGACTTTAATGTTAACTATTACCATACTTCTTTATTTTTCTATGAAGATGTGTAACGCTTAACTTTTTAAACTGTTTCTTTTACTACTCTGTACCTTGAGTTTTTTGTACTTGTGATGTGGAGGGGCAGGTGTTGGACTGGGGTGGACAAAGTCAAAAGTCACACGACACCAGGTGATAGTCCAACAGGTTTATTTGAAATCACAAGCTTTTGGAGCGTAGCCCCTTTGTCAGTTGAAGTGAGAGAGAAAAACACAAAACACAGCATTTATGGGCAGAGAGAGGTCAAGGGGAGAGAGATCAACGACCATACAAATAGCGTGAGTGGCGTGTCGAATTGTAAGTCTCTGCAGGTGGCCAAAAGTTGGAGTCGTTGATTGGTTCACCGAGCTGACTGGCTTTCGTGCAAACATTTCGCCTGCTTCTAGGTGACATTGTCAGTGCTGTGTAGCCTCCGTTGAAGCGCTGTTGTTCTGCTCCGTTCTGAATTTATATGATCAGGTCTATCATGATGGGAAGTCTTGTTTCCGGTTTTGTATCGGAGTACTGCAGGTGATCAAAAGTGTTAGATAGCGTGAGTGAAGTGTCAACAGCCGAATGACAAGTGAAGGGATGACCTATTATCCATATAAATGAGGCAGAGAGATAATTACGCATATTAAAAATAAGGTCGTGCTGGAGACAAACCAAATTACTGGAATAACATGATAGGTATAAGAGTCGCATGCCGAGGGTCTAACCAAAGTAATAAGCAATCCAAAACTGCACAAACTAATTAAGGCAGAGAGATCATAACAATTTATCAAGATGATGGTGACAAAACAGGATGGTGAGGAAGATTTTACAGTTACAGAACAGTGTGGTGGGGTCACCTGTAGTGCGACATGAACCCAAGATCACGGTTGAAGCCGTTTTCATGGGTATGGAACTTGGCTATTAGCCTCTGCTCGGTGACTCTGCATGGTTGTGCATCACGAAGGCCACCTTGGAGGATGTTTACCCGAAGATCGGAGGCTAATGTCCCTGACCACTGCAGTGTTTCATCACTGGAAGAGAACATCCCTGTCTGGCGATTGTTGCGCTGTGTCCATTCATCTGTTGTTGCAGTGTTTGAATGGTTTCGCCAATATACCATGCCTCGAGCCCTCCCTGCCTGCAGCATATGAGTTGGACTACATTGGCCGAGTCACATAAGTATCTGCTGCGCATGTGGTGGGTGGTGTTCCCATGTGTGATGGTAGTGTCCATGTCAATGATCTGGCATGTCTTGCAGAGGTTACCATAACAGGGTTGTATGGTGTTGTGGTTGATGTTGTCCTGAAGGCTGGGTAGTTTGCTGTGAAAACTGGTCTGTTTAAGGTTTGGTGGTTGTTTGAAGGTGAGAAGTGGAGATGTGCGGATGATCTTGGCGAGGTGCTCGTCATCATCGATGACATGTTGAAGGCTGCAAAGAACATGGCATAGTTTCTCCACTCCAGGGAAGTACTGGATGACAAAGGGTACCCTACTGGTCGTATCCTGTGTCTGTCTTCTGAAGATGTCATTACAGTTTTTTGCTGTGGCATGTCGGAACTGGCGATTGATGAGCTGAGCATTGTATCCCGTTCTTGTAAGGGCATCCTTCAAAATCTTTAGGTGTCTGTCGCGTTCCTTCTCATCTGAGCAGACCCTGTGTATGCACAGGGCTTGTCCATAGAGGATGGCTTCTTTAATACGTTTAGGGTAGAAGCTAGAGAAGTGCAGCATCGTGAGGTTATCCATAGGCTTGTGGTAGAGTGAGGTACTGAGGTGTCTGTCCCTAATGGAGATGCGTGTGTCCAAGAGCGAGACTGATTCTGAAAAGTAGTCCATGGTGAGTCTGATGGTGGGATGAAACTTGTTGATATCGCTCTGTAGTCATTTCAGTGATTCCTCGCCCATGAGTCCGAAGGAAGAAAATGTCGTCAATGTATCCAGTGAATAGCATTGGTCGGAGGTCCTGTGCAACAAAGAAGTCTTGCTCAAACTTGTGCATGAAAATGTTGCTGTATGGGGGTGCAAATCTGGTTCCCATGGCTGTTCCGTGTGTCTGGGTGAAGAATTGTTTGTCGAAGGTGAAGATGTTGTGGTCAGGATGAAGCAGATGAGTTGTAGGATGGCATGTGGAAATTGGCAGTTTTTGATATTGAGGTCTGAGGCTGTTGCAGCGATACCGTCCTCGTGGGAGATCCTGGTGTTGACTTCCATAACGTCCATTGTGACGAGGAATGTTCCTGGTTCAACTGGTCCGTAGGTGCTGAGTTTCTGTAAGGTGGTGCCATGTGTGGTGATATCAGACACTTTTCACTATACTTCTGTACTTGAGTACACGTGACAATAAAATCAGAATCTAAAACGGAAGACGTGAGGGAGGAGCTGGCCACAATGAAGAGCGTGAAGCAGCAATGGCAGGGGTTTCTGGGGGTAATTTGGGAGGCACAGCAGAAATTCATCCCAAAAACAATGCAACATACTCAGGGGAGGACAAGGTAACCATGGCTAACAAGGAAAGTCCGGGACAGCTTAAAAGATAAAAAAAAAGCACACAGTGTGGTGAAGATTAGTGGGAAGCCAGAGATTTGGGAAACCTTTATAAACCAGCAGAGGGTAACTAAAAAAGAAGCAGTAAGTGGGGAGAAGATGAAATATGAGGGTAAGTTAGAGAGTAATATAAAAGAAGATTCTTTTAAATGTATAAATAGTTAATACAGAGGCAACAGTGGTCATTGGAACGCTAGAAAATAAGGCTGAAGAAGTACTAATGGGGAACAAAGAAATGGTTGAGGAACTGAACAGGTACTTTGCATCAGTTTTCATGGTGGAAGACACCAGAAGCAGAACAAAACTTTGAGAGAGTCACAGGGCAGAGGTAAGTGTAGTGGCTATCACTAAGGAGAAGGTGCTGGGAAAGCTGAAAGGTCTGAAGGTGGGTAAATCACCCAGAGCAGATGGACTTCACCCCAGAGTTCAGAAGGAGACAGCTGAGGAGATTGTAGAGGCATTGCTGGTGATCTTTTAAGGAATCATTGGAGTCGGAGAGGGTCCTAGAGGACTGAAAGTGGCTAATGTAACACCCTGTTTAAGAAGGGTGGGAAGCAGAAGGCAGGAAACTATAGGTTGGTAAGATTTCAGAATCCATTATTAACGATAAGATTGTGGGAGAGCATGGTAAAATAGAGCTCAGTTGGCACAACTTCATCAAGCTTTGAGGAAGTAATGAGCAAATTAGACAAAGGACAGCCAGTGGACGTGATCTATTTGGATTTTCAGAAGGCCTTGACAAGGTGCTGCACAGGAAGCTCCTGAAAAAAAATAAGAGCCCATGGTATTAGGGGCAAGGTTCTGGCATGGATAGAGGATTGACTGATTGCAGACGGTGAAGAGTAAGGATAAAGGGGCCTTTGACAGGATGACAGCTGGTGATTAGTGGAGGTCCACAGGGGTCAGTTTAGGGACCTCAACTGTTCACGTTAAACATTAACAGTCTGGATGAAGGAACTGAGGGCATTGTGGCTATGTTTACAGATGACACAAAGATAGGTGGAGGGAGCAGGTAGCGTTGAGGAAGTAGGGAGGCTGCAGGAGGACTTGGACAGGCTAGGAGAACAACCAAAGAAGTTGCAGATGGAATACAATGTGGGAAGGTGTGAGGCTTGATAGGAAGAATAAAGGCACAGACTATTTTCTAAATGGGGAAAGTCATTGGAAATCTGAAGCACAAAGGAACTTGGGAGTCCAAGTTCAGGATTCTCTGAAGGTTAATATGCAGGTTCAGTTGGCAGTTACGAAGATAAATGCAATGTTAACATTCATTTCAAGAGGACTAAAATACAAGAGCAGGGATGTGCTGCTGAAGCTGTATAAGGCTCTGGTCAGACGCATTTGGAATATTGTGAGCAGTTTTGGGCCCCATATCTAAGGAAGGATGTGCTGGCCTTGGAGGGGGTCCAGTGGAGGTTTACAAGAATGATCCTGGCGATTTTGGCTTATCATATGAAGAGCAGTTGAGGACTCTGGATCTGTACTTAATGGAGTTTAGAAGGATGAGAAGAAATCTCATTGAAACTTACAGAATACTGAGAGGCCAGGATAGAATGGACGTGGAGAATACATTTCCACTAGCAGGAGAGACTCGGACCTGAGGGTACAGCCTCAAAGTGAAAGGTCAACCCTTTAAATCTGAGATAAGGAGGAATTTCTTCAGCCAGAGGGTGGATAATCTGCGGACTTCATTGTCACAGAGGGCTGTGGAGGCCAAGTCATTGAGTGTATTTAAGACAGAGATATAGGTAGGTTCTCGAAGGGGATCAAGGGTTACCAGGAGAAGGCAGGATGACGGGGTTGAGAAACATACCAGCCATGATCAAAAGGTGCAGCAGACTTGATGGGCCGAATAGTCTAATTCTGCTCCTATATGCTGTGGTCTTTTGTTCTAAAATGAGGTGGGGAGTGTTGGGACAGCTGCCTCCACAGAAGTACATTCCAGGTCAGAAGGGCTGCGGGTGACATTTCTGCCTCACCTCCACTGAACAGTCAATTAGTGACCAATAAGGGGGATTTAATTATCGTTGCTCCATGTGGGACAACAGATAATCAACATTAGGAGTAGTGAGGCACTTCGTGTGAATGTGTGTATGTGAGAGAGTGGGTGAGAGAATGCGTGAGAGAGTTGTGTGTGTATGTGTGTATGAGAGTTTGAGAGAGTGTTTTGTATGTGTGTGTGACAGTGTGAGAGACAGTGTGTGAGAGAGTGTGTGAGAGCGTGAGAGTGTGTGTGTATGTGCGTGTGAGCGTGGGAGAGTGTGGTGTGTGTGTGAGAGAGTGTGGTGTGTGAGAGAGAGAGTGAGTGAGTGTGTGTATGAGAGAGAGTGTGTGAGAGAGTGTGTGTATGTGTGTGTGAGAGTGTGAGTGTGTGTGTGAGAGAGTGTGGTATGTGAGAGAGAGAGAGTGAGTGTGTGTGTGAGAGAGAGAGAGATAGAGAGAGTGTGAGAGATAGTGTGTGTTTGTGAGAAAAAGAGAGACAGTGTGTTGTGTGAGAGAGAGAAAGCATGGTGTGTGTGAGAGAGAGAAAGAGAGAGTGAGTGTGTGAGAGAGAAAAAAGTGTGTTGTGTGTGTGTATGTGTGTGAGAGTGTGATGTGTGTGTGTGAGAGAGAGAGAGTGAGAGTGTGTGTGTGAGAGAGACAGTGTGGTTTGTGTGTGTGAGAGAGAGAATGAGTATGTGTGTGTGAGAGAGAAAGAGAGTGTGTGGTGTGTGTTCGTATGTGTGTGAGAGTGTGATGTGTGTGTGAGAGAGAGTGAGAGTGTGTGTGTATGAGACAAAGAGAGAGAGAGTGAGAGTGTGTGTGTGAGAGTGGCAGTGTGGTTTGTGTGTGAGAGAGAGAGAGTGAGTATGTGTATGTGAGAGAGAAAGAGAGAGAGAGAGTGTGTGGTGTGTATGAGAGAGTGAGTGTGTGTGTGTGTGTGTATGCGTGTGTGTGGTGTGTGAGAGAGAAAAAAGTGTGTTGTGTGTGTGAGAGAGAGAGAGTGA